TGGGTGTGAATAAAGACCTTTTACATTTCAGTGTGAGCGCTGGAATTCAACTGATTATACAGTATTCATTTAAGAATCAAGCACTAAACATTTTGGGTTGCTTAAAACTACACTATGCAATTTTTTTTTCAAAAAGAACAACATTTAAATAGGAGTGTACATGATAAAACCATCATCAGTATGTAACTTAAAGGATAAAACTATGAAAAGATGGCTCATTACTGATTTTCTGGAGCTCAGCCATCTGACTACACAGACTGTCAACACACCATCAACAGGTAAATGATTTCTTTCTTAAAATGTCTATAGTTTTTAACTTTCAAACTGTAACTGTTTTCCTACCAATCATGAATTTTTCTCTTTTTAATTTAAGAAAACATGTAAGTGTGACCAGATCTGTTCAGTTAAGGATATTACACTCTAAAAAATGTTGGGTTGTTTCAACCCAATTTTGGGTCAAATATGGACTAACCCAACTTTTGGGTTAAAAATGTAATTAAAAAATTTAACCCAACAGTTGGGTTAGTCCATATTTGACCCAAAGTTGGGTTGAAACAACCCAGCATTTTTTAGAGTGTACGTTCCCCATCTCCACGGAGTAACAAAGATATTGAATTTATGGTCCATACTGTTAGACTTTTTAAAAAAAAATTTATTACTTGGGTTTATGCATAAACATAACATTGTGAAGTGCTCACATACTACTTTTGTCCTTCATAAACAATTGTTTTTACATTGTAACACTAAACTCAATTGTGTGTTTCAGATGCTGTCACATCCTACAACCTCGTCATCTGCAGAGAGAAACTGCCATTCAATCCCACCAAAATACTCATAATGATGGGCTTACAGGCATCATAGAGGATTGTGAAGATACAGTATTTCACTGGAACTTGGTCTTCATTACATTATTTTCTGTTTCTATTTTAAGTATTTATTTATGTTCAGTGTCAATTGTCATTTATTAATGTATTCTGCTAATAACGGTTGTTAGATCACTCTCATTTTTGCTACAATTTCACATCATTAAATAAAATAAACGTACCTAATTGACACAACTTGCTGCTGTTTATATCCAAAGTAACTTACATTGCATTGCATTACATTCACATCCCCTACAGTACATTCATGCATTACTCCTTAAAAAAAGTAACTGCTACTTAATTACTTTTCATAGAAAGTAATGCATTGCATTACGTTTTCTTGCTTGTTTGTTTTTGATATACAAAAGCTCTTTTTTTTGTGGCAAATATAAAAGCCCTTTCACACCAAAACATGAAATGTGAATAAGCCTCAGGCTGAAGGGAATGTAAATTCACGTCTGTAAAGTAGAGGGCGCAGCTCACACAAACCTTTCAGCTGTGCTGCCATTATGGATTTCATGACGCTGGAGAAGGTTCAACACTACAGCAATAAAACAAAATCTTTTTGCTTATTAATATGGTTGAATTGGCTCATCAAAGGTCACCAGCAAAGACATTGGCTAATAAAATGGGATTAAATACATGAAAGATATTTGTCTTCTTTGCATTTGCATCATATTCTGAGTTTGCTTTTCACTGTTTTTATTCATTTTGAGGAATACTGAATCAGTTTTTTTGTTCAGGTGTGATGAGTAAATGCATGTTCACGTTTAGTCTAGAACTAAACATCTTGTTCAGACCGTGCACTTACTCACGATTTCTCTCAACATGGGAAAAAGTAGGAAGACAAAGTAACTGGCATTACTAATTTGAAAAAGTAATTTGGATATTTCCTTGTAAATGAAAAAGTAATGAATTACCAGTTACTTAAAGTAATCTGATTACACAACACGCATATCAAGATAGACTTCTTTCTGGTCCAGATGTGGAGCTGGAGGTAAAGGCCGAGTCTGATGTTGTGATGGAGGGAGACTGGATTTTGTTTGTCTGTGGTTCATGCATCCCCTCCATGACTGTTCCAACCTACATTTGGAGTAAAGATGGGCATCTGCATGAGCAACACCATGGGAACAACATACTTGTTTTGGAGTCTGTCGAGCTGGAGGACGGAGGCCGATATTCCTGCACCATAAGCGGTCATGAGGGACTAAACTCCACATCTGCTGAAATCACTGTTAGACCTGGATGTAAGTTAGCTGAGAGCTTTACTTTGAAACATCTCACGTGTTCTTCATAATGAAATGACAGTTCTTTCTGCAGGGAAAAATCTGATGCTTACAAAGCAATTGCAAAAAACATGTTTTGAGTTGATTACAACTGTATGTTTTACTGATTTTCATTCCACACTTGTTTATCTGTTTAGATCCTCCAAAGAGCATCTCAGTGTCCTTCAGTCCATCTGCTGAAATAGTGGAGGGAGATTCAGTGACTCTGAGCTGCAAAAGTGATGCAAAACCTCCTGCTCTGAACTTCAGCTGGTTTAAGGAGAATCAAAGCTCAGCTGTTGGATCTGGACAGAGATTCAGCATCTCCAGCTTTAACTCCCGTCACAGTGGACGCTACTATTGTGAGGCTCAGAATAAACATGGATCTCAGAGATCAGAGTCTGTTTCAGTCTCTGTTAAAGGTGAGAATCATCTCTGTTGATCTCAGTCAGCTCATTGTCTGAATATAAAGAGTAATAGTTTTTCTTTCTCTCATCTGCACGGCTGAAGAAAGCAGCTCATCTCTGATCAGGATCGCGGTGGGAATCTCTGCAGCTGTTGTCTTGACGTCTGTGATTCTGATGGTTTTCGTCGGGCTCTTGATAAGAAGGTGAAGCAGACTCTGTGTCTGAACTGTTAGAAAGATTCAGAGTCAGTTTGTGTTCATGTTCATTTCTTCTCCTCTCACAGGAAACGAGTGACTTCATCAGAAGAGCTAAACCACAGAGGATCACGACACAGTAAGACGGTGTGTAAATCTCCTCATGTATCTTCTCATCTGTGTCTGTCAGTTCTGGAGGGAGAATTCATTCTCTCATCATTGTGTGTCGTCAGCTGGAGGCTCCTGAGGACGCCTACATGACCCTTGACCCCAAGTCCAGATGTTCTGAATACGACACACTGGATGTGAGTTCCTCTGCTGTTGCTGTTTATCATGTGGATGTTTAACATCAGATCTTATTAGTGATGAATATGTTCACTTCTTCTCCAGAATATGAAGAGATCCTGTGAAAACACAGACGACCCTGATGATCAGGATCCTACATATGAAGACATTGATGACTGATTAATTCATGATATGACTCTTTTTTAAATTATTTATTTTCTCCTATAGATTCATGTATAACATTAGTAAGATTTCTAGTAAGAAAACAACTTCTTAATAAGATGTTGCTCTTTATGGTGTTACTCGCATAGTTTATTGTATGATAGACTCAGCTTCAGATTATGATATAATAAATATATGATATAATAAAAATGTGTTACTTTAGCAAGTGTTTCATCCCCTTCTTTACCATCTACTTTTATCCTGCAGTGTTACACCCAGATCAACGGCACTATGAAAAAAATACTCATATTTAGCCTGTAAAGAAATCTAGATTTTTTTTAAGTCAGCAAGTTGCTACATAAGCAGAAATAAACTATCAAATTACAGGAAGAGTTATGGCATTCGTATTAAGGATTATGATGTCAAAATTATCCATGCATGAATCGTGCACAATAAAGCCAGTAACAGGGATGAAGAAAATGAATCAATGTCGACTATGTGATAATATACGCATTGCAGTTACATCTACCTGTCTCCAGATGTGGCTTCAGGTGTGCTGTAGAGGTGTGGAGTAAGGCGGTGCTGCTTGTTTACTGAACAACTGTCCTGAAAGTTATGGTAATAAAGGGGAGGCACACAAAAATGAAGAGGCTCGAGCTCTTCTTATTAAAACGTAAAAGCAGAGTTCACAGAGTTGAAGTTGTGAAGGGAAGCCGGCATTATTATCACGTATGTTTATTTATCCTCGAGTTGTGATAAGATTAATGCTTAAAGCTACATGTAAAATGGCATTTTCAGGTTTTGAGCTTCCATTTACAGACATAAACACTTCTGTAAGTCTTCGTGTCCTTTATCACTTCACTGTCATCTTGAACTCAGTATAGTGTAACCCCTCTCCCCCGGGTCCTCACCGCCACACCTCGTTCTCGTTCCGAGTGGGTCGACGAACCCGAGTCTCTGGCATGGGAGGCGGGCGCACTAACAAGGAGGCTAAAGACTGCAGCCTCTAGCGTCAGTCGCTAGTGCGTCTCTTTGAGATCAGGGGAGTGAGGTTTACCTGCACAGCACCTACCCGCTGGCCTCCGTTACACTCACCCCCCTGAACCTCACTCCCATCCGGGTCACGGCACCAATGTAACCCCTCTCCCCGGGGTCCTCACCGCCATACCTCGTTCTGAGTGGGTCTCAAACCCGGGTCTCCGGCATGGGAGGGGGGCCTCCGCTGGCCTCCGTTACACTAGCTAAACATATTTGCACCAAAGTAAAACGCATGAATGATAAAGAGTACACTTTAAAAGAAATAAAGTTCTACTTTATTTATATATTTCTTTGTTCGTTTTAATTTGACTGTATTTATGTTGCATTTCTAGAGTGGTTTTGTTGTTTGAGGTCATGTTGATGAGTATTTACTCAAGAAATCCAATGGAAATTTTTACTCAGAAATGCTTGTCACTGAAGGAGTTGCATGATGCTCACAAATTTTGCAACAGCAGCACTAATATGGAAATAATATGGAAATAAAAAAAAGGAAGCATCACAACGACATTCAGAAGTGTTGTGTCACTACTGTTTCAGCAGTATTTCAGTGTTCTCTCATTAGAAAAAAGTCTATTATGTGTTCTCTGTTTTCTTTTATCTTGACACGGCGTCTTGAAAACAAGGTGCTCGTGTGTCCATCAAGAAGTTCACATAGCGCATGTTTATGTAGAATCTACATTAGTCATGTGACTGGGGGAGCAGCATCTTTCACTCACACAGATGAAATACAAACAGGAAGTGGCAACATCTTAGAGACAAAGTTTCCCACTGTCCAGCCTGATCAGCTCTCATTGTAATATATGAGCCCTGCAAGTTACAGTGATGCAAGGTAGGACAGCTGATCAGTTATTTCTTATTAGTCATATTTTTTCCTTTGAGTAGCAGTGTGTATTTCTTTTATTCATTTCTTTTATTGCATTTTCCTTTATCATTTGATTATGACTCTTTATCATTGATTGTTTGAAAAGAATGTATTTAAAAGTTATATACCCAAGTTCTTCATATCAGTAGTGTGAGTTATAATACTTGTTTTTGTGATTCACATGTTAGCTACTGTCTTGCCTGAACAATGTGCTTACACAATGGCAGAATTTACTACACTTTGACAAATAAGAGTTTTCATATGACTGAAGTGTTTTCTTAGAATTTGAAGTGCACTGCACTGAGTGTACTTTAGTAAAATTTGGTTGCATTTATTTAAAATTCAATCTAGAATCTTGGCTCGTATCCATCCTGTTATTGAATAAAAATACTCTTTCGTCATCACTGCCTTGTCTGCCTGGATCTCTCTGCATCAAATATAAACTGATTGATTGGTTTGTTGAGGTTACTAAATGATCCGAATGCATTTGTCTGAAACCGTACACTTCACTCTTATATATTTGAAATGTTAATCATCTTCTTAATGTCTTTCAGAATGTTTTGTCTTTTCTCTCTGATTTCTCTGCTTATGATTCCTGGTGAGTCTGCTACAAATTCTTATTTTAAGTTGTTTTGCACTGGAGATTAGACTGTTACAAACATGTCCACAATTCCCAATTTATATGCTAATCTTGTTTTATTTTGTGTTTGGATGCTTATAATAAATTGAAAGTAAAACTGAAGAGTAAAGTTTCTGTGTTTAACAAACAATATATAAAGGCAATCCAAGCAATCAGAGAAACGGACAATATGGGTACTGCTGAAGTGGATTTCTCTTGTAGAGAAACAAGTGGAAATAAAAACACATATACACTGTATCTTTTGAGATGAATATGCATTTAATCTGTATTTTCCTGTTTTATATTTCCCAGTTATCTACAGCCAGAACTGGGAGGTTAAGTACTCCAGTATGATGAAATGTGTTCTAAAGGGTTCAACAATAAATGTATCAGGGACTTATACACTCCCAAATAATCTCACAGTGACACAGACATTCTGGACTGTAAACCCATCTAAAAACAAGATTATCAATCTGTTGGCTCATCCAGTTTACAGAGGCAGAGTTCAGGTCTTCAAGAATCAAGACGGAATGATCTTTCTCCATCTCAGTTATGTGACTCATGAGTATGAAGGAATGTACTGCCTCAGAATCCTGACAAATGAAAAAGATGAAAGATTTCTGGGTTTTCCTGGGATTGAGCTCAAAGTGACAGGTACAGGCAAACTAATTCACTCACAGATTTGACTCTGTTCTTTCATATGAAACATGTTTTGTCTGTGATTTCAGAGCTCAGATTGGAGATTCCTGCAGAGATCATTGAGGGAGAATCACCTGTTTTATTTTGTAAGACCACCTGTGACCTCTCAGGTAAAACAGAATTTACTTGGTATAAAAATGGCAAGCGTTTATCCGAATCGATCGGGTCGAATCAGCTGTTGCTGCAGTCGGTCAGCAGTGATGATACGGGGAACTACAGCTGTGCAGTGAGAGATCAGAAACATCTGCCGTCTCCTGCTGTCTCTCTCAGTGTCAGATGTACGTCAAGACTTGATCTTCATATTAACAAAATTCAGTCCAAACTGATCAAATGAAGGACTGTGAGAAGTAATCTTTACTTTCTTTCAGATCCTCCAAAGAACATCTCAGTGTCCATCAGTCCATCTGCTGAAATAGTGGAGGGAGATTCAGTGACTCTGAGCTGCAGCAGTGACTCAAACCCTCCTGCTCTGAACTTCAGCTGGTTTAAGGAGAATCAAAGCTCAGCTGTTGGATCTGGACAGAGTTTCAGCATCTCCAGCTTTAACTCCAGTCACAGTGGACGCTACTATTGTGAGGCTCAGAATAAACATGGATCTCAGAGATCAGAGTCTGTTTCAGTCTCTGTTAAAGGTGAGAATCATCTCTGTTGATCTCAGTCAGCTCACTGTCTGAATATAAAGAGTAATAGTTTTTCTTTCTCTCATCTGCACGGCTGAAGAAAGCAGCTCATCTCTGATCAGGGTCGATGTGGGAATCTCTGCAGCTGTTGTCTTGACGTCTGTGATTCTGATGGTTTTCATCGGGCTCTTGATCAGAAGGTGAAGGAAAATCTGTGTCGTGGGGAAGTTTGAACTATATGTGCTGATTAGGAGATTGTAAAATCACAGCACAGGATTCAGAACAGTCTGACTTTAATATTTGTATGTGTGTGGTCTGGAATAAACCAACAAACAACATATTACAATAATATAATTACAACATACATGATATACATCGAATACAAATCTTAGTGGACTGCAAAACTTAAATGGGCCTTTAGATGGAGCATTTACCTTGTATAACAGGGATTTAAAGTGCTGAGACTTCATCATATACAGGGACGGACTGGGAGTAAAAAATGGCCCTGGATATTCCTCCAAATAAGCCCCACCACAACTACAAACAGCCGCTACTATCTCACAATATTACAGCAGTCAATGTATCGCATTTATGGCAAATAACATCACAAAACCCATGGTGATTGAAATAAATGTATTATTGTATCAACTAAAATACTTAAAATCTACATAAAAAGAGCAGAATGAAAAATGTATATATACTGTATATATTTTACTCCGTTTGCTGACAGGAGGGATAAGGACGTTTCTAGCTCACCACCTATCGTCCTTTCCCAACGTCACCAATAGTGGTCTCTAAATCTCCTTAAGAACCTTTATAAAGATTCAGAGTCAGTTTGTGTTCATGTTCATTTCTTCTCCTCTCACAGGAAACGAGTGACTTCATCAGAAGAGCTAAACCACAGAGGATCACGACACAGTAAGACGGTGTGTAAATCTCCTCATGTATCTTCTCATCTGTGTCTGTCAGTTCTGGAGGGAGAATTCATTCTCTCATCATTGTGTGTCGTCAGCTGGAGGCTCCTGAGGACGCCTACATGACCCTTGACCCCAAGTCCAGATGTTCTGAATACGACACACTGGATGTGAGTTCCTCTGCTGTTGCTGTTTATCATGTGGATGTTTAACATCAGATCTTATTAGTGATGAATATGTTCACTTCTTCTCCAGAATATGAAGAGATCCTGTGAAAACACAGACGACCCTGATGATCAGGATCCTACATATTATAACATTGTTCAATAATGAGAATTTATAATTTTTTCTGATTTAATTTGACATCTTCATTTAATTTGACAGTTCATTTGGCCTTTTTTAAAGATGAGCTGTTTGAAAATGCACAGTAATTCACTCTCCTTAACTTTGAATTATCTTTTTACATAGACTCTAGGTTGTATTTACCTAGAATATTAAGTAATTTCAACTGGACAAGTTAGTTATTTGAACTTATAAAGCTTAGTTGGAATAACTTTAGGTAAATAAGGTGAATTTGCTTTAAGTTTTTAACAGCAAAGTTTATGTTCATTTCACCTAATTTGGCAGATTTTCCTAGTTCAACCAAATAAACAATCCTTTGATTTCAACTGTACTTTTATTTCGATTGTATTTCAAATGCTTCAGTCATATTTCAGTTGAAATACTTAATATTGTAATAAATGTGAAGTCAATGTAAAAAAAAAAAAAACTCAAAATGTTATGTTAAAAATGAACATGAACTTTGGTATTTAAAACGGAAAAAAGTAACTCTGCCTTTCTTTCATAAAGTTATTCCAACTAAACTTTATAAGTTCAAATAATATTTACAATTCTAAGTAAATACAACATAACTGAGTCAATGTAAAAAGATAACTCAAAAAGTTTATTACATTTATTTATTGAGTTGCTTCACGCATCTTAACAAATGTCTGTCATCTGAATACTGTCACGATTATGGACTTTTGTGTTTCTTTCATTTCCTATTTAGTTTTGTTTATTTGACCTATAGGCTGTGTTCAGCTCAGACAAAACGTTGTTTAAACGGAATCGTGATGCGTTGAACACTGTTCTGATGACGCAAGAGTTGCATCTATGGCAGCTGAGAAGGCCATTCTTTGTGTTCTTTTTGAAGAATGTTCAGAGCCTGATGAAATCAGTATAAATACGTGTTTAATACTGCAAAATACGCTCGATGGTACAATCACTGCCCTTGCCCTCCAGAATAAAAGAGAACATCTCAATCAAATGAGGGGATTCGTGGAAACTGTGGTTCCTAATTATTGTGATCCAACATTTGCCTCGCATTTCAGGATGAAAAGACAAACATTTCAGGTGAAAGACAATCCACTTCTTACCTCCGAGACTGTGTTATGATCTATATAACCTTATTATTTTTATTGTGAGTATTAGTCTTATCATTATTGCTGATCGCTGTTGTTGTGCTATGATATTGTAATATTTAGCATTATATAATCAGAGGAGTATAGAAAAGTTTATGAAAGTGTCACTCCACAATACAATAGCAAAATATATAAATATGTGTAGTATTTTTATGTTACATGAATTAGTGTCTAGCACACCTTCCTAAGGAAAGGATATGGACCAGAAGACATTGCAATTATTAAATGATATTTAGACAGACTTAAAGAAGTTCCAGATCTATACTTGTGCCCTTATTATTTCAGTTATTTTGCCTTTAATGTAAATAAACATGTGCAAACAATATACTTGCTCTTGTGAATTTATTTGGATGTTAATTACATTGTGCAGCTGTCTCTTTAGTACCGCGTGGTTTATATGCATGGGGGCGTGTTAGAACGAGCTGTTTTAGGGGGGCGTGGCAGAGTCTTAACTTTGATAAAGAATATCTCTTTGGTTTTGAGACTTTAGTCTTTGCAACTTCAGGGATCTTATCTATGCACAATCAGCTTGTAACACTCCAAAGAGAAAGCAAAACTTGAAATCGCATCATATGACCCCTTTAACTGTTTTTTTGTAATTTGATGCAAAGGTGATATAATACAAAGAATAGTGTTATAAATGTACATACATTTAAAAAATACAAATATGAAAATCTTTCGAGGATTTAAGATGCAGATGACTGTTAAACGCGTCATCACAGTCTTGTGAAAAGGGTCCATTGCTAAATTGGGCTAAAATTGGGCTCTTCTCGTTCGCTACAAAGAATCGGCTCGTTCGCGAACGACACATCACCAGGAGACCGGTCTTGCCAGGCTACCTAGAATAATATTTATATTATTTTTATTTTAACATATGTATTTGTAAAAACGATTAGACTTAGGCATGTGTAATTAATGTTAGCTATATTTTGTCAATGTTAAAATTATCAATGTTAAAAAATGTACCAATAAAAAGTATTACAGGCTTTTTCCCCCCAGGTCTTTATCGCTTTATTAAAATTATGCAAAACAAAATGACAATGTTTACTTTCACGAGCCGTAGCGTATATTTACAGGCTTGCAGTGAGAAGTTTAAAAGCTTGTTACTTAGTACTTTTGATGCCTCAACCCCTACTGATTTGAAATCCAATAATTCCTGGATTTGCTGTCATAATTTTCACGACCCCCACAGGCACATGAAGTCAGCAGTGCATCAGGAAAGCTTGGAATATGGAAAAGCTTAGGGATGGGATTATTGCTATTACACTGATTTTGTCATGAGAAAAGCTTATCTGAGCACATATGTGTAAGTTATGGCATTGTTTTACTCTGGAATCACATGGCTTGCCCACCCACATCCCATCTGATCCCCATATAAATTATATTACTATAATTAAAAATCTTATGAACTTATGTGATTTCTTTTTTTTATAAAATACTTCATGAAATATTTTGGGCAAAATTCTAGCTACAATTAGCTTCAAGCTACACATGACAAGTAATACAACACTTTTACTAAAAAGTCACTATCAATCACCATTGAGTGCTTGTAAAAACTTCTGACTGCGATTGGTCAAATGATGAGGCAGGAATATATTGTTAGTAACATTTCAGAAGAATTTTATGGGGAAGACACACAATTAAAACTTCTGTGGAGCGTGAAGGAAAAGTAATGTAACTAGTAGTGTAACTACTAGTACGGTTACACTTTATTTTAAGGTGTCCTTGTTACAGTGTAATTACTCATTTAAGTTCTGAGTAATATTAGTTAACTACATGTACTTGCTATATGGTTAGGTTAGGATTAGGGTTTGGCGTAGGGTTACTTGCATGCAATTATGCATAATTAATTGTTATTATAATAGTAAGTACATGTAACGTGTAACAAGGACACCTTAAAATAAAGTGTTACCCCAGATAGTAATGCTTTTGAAAGGAGTAACTAGTAACGAGTAATACATTATATTTTTGCAGTAGGGAGCCCAACACTGTCTATACAGCAGGTCATCCGGTAAAGAAATCTAGATGTCTACACAGCCCGTCACTGGCATGATGTGCGTGCAGTTACATGCACTGTCCTGTAGATGTCGCGTCAGGTCGGTGAGCTGCAGAGGTGTGGAGGAGCGGCGCTGTCCGCGGTGCTGATCGCTCACTCATCAACTCTCACATGAGTGGTTTTCGCCATCTTTGATTCACCTTATAAAGGCCTCAATGCTCTGTTAAAACTAGTTCTTGCAGAACGAAAAATGTCACCTCAGATCTAAACGGGCTGTTTCGCCTCAATCCCTTTTGTTTAGAACATTGTGAACTTCCATTCGCATGCAACCCCATGAACACCTTCTGCAAGTCTTTTTCTCAGGTTGTCTTTGCATTGTGAAGGCTGCCTTACAGTTAATCACGTTCATTCATTTTTATTTGAATTGTAATATAGGTATAGGAATCAAAGTGAATGATCAATGATTAAATCATTAAATGCAATTTTCTCTATATTTATGTGAAATAGCTTGGTTAATTGTTGAATGGGTGTTGATGACTCTTTCGACGAAGTCAACAATGTTAAGAAGCCGTTTCTCACATCGGAGCATGTTGCACTTTGCTCATGGCTCTTACAACATCAGTATAACTGCAAAAAGAAAGA